TTTTCTTTAGAAAAGTTGTGACCCTTCCTCAAAATGAAGTAATCCTGCTAATTTTCACAACAAAGATATGTGTTTAGTAAGTCTGAGAATCACCTCTTTGAAATGTGAAAATGAAGACAGATTGTCCCTGACCTCTTGCCAAAGGGAGGCTTCTCGGTGTCCAGCTCCCTGTTACAATCACATGCTTGTTGGAGAGATGAGAAGTTTGTTATTCCTGTGGATAAAGACACTTAGAAAACACTAATGGCCAAGGCTGCCCCAATGACCAGGGGATGCAGGATGAACTTGTGTGGCAAATGGCACCTCCAAGTCCATTTGACCTGAGAATGAGTTATTGTTCATCCTGAGAACATGCATGTAATGGATTGCCACCTGCTCAGCTTTATAAAAGGGTGAGGTTTCCTTATGTCTTTGCCATATGCATCACATTCTGGATCAATATTTATTCAATAATAATCAATAATAAAAGTGTTTTCTCTCCTTTTGTTTTATAGGTTGGCAGATTTTTTTTTTTATATATAATTACTAGAGACCTGGTGCATGAAATTTGTGCAAGGGGAGGGGGGTGTCTCTCAGCTCAGCCTGCACCATCTCCAATCTGGGACCCCTGTTGTTCACTGCCCATTTAAGCTTGATACCCTGCCAGCCAGATTGCCCCTAACTGCCCTCCCTACAGGCCTGGTCACCCTAACTGCCCTCCCCTGTAGGCCTGATCCCACACCCCACCCCCAAATGCTCTCCCCTGCAGACCTAGATCCTCCCCAACTGCTCTTCCCCACAGGCCTGATAGTCCCCAATTTTTCTTCTCTCCTGGCCTGGTCACCCCTAACTACCCGCCCCTGCAGGCTTGATTGCCCCCAACTGCCCTTCCATGCAGGCCAGGTCTCTTCCAACTGCTCTCCCCTGCTGGCCTGATTGCCCACAACTGTCCTCCCTTGCAGGCCTGGTTCCTCCCAACTGCCCTCCCCTGCTGGCCATCTTGTGGTGGCCATCTTGTGTCCACATGGGGGGTAGCCATCTTGTGTGTTGGAGTGACGGTCAATTTGCATATTATTATTTTATTAGATAAGATAGAGGCCTGGTGCATGGGTGGGGGCCAGCTGGTTTGCCCTGAAGGATGTCCCAATGAGGTTGGGGGTTCTCTTGGGGTGTGGGGTGGCCTGGGCAAGGGGCCTGTGGTGGTTTGCAGGTCTGCCACCCCTGCAAGTGGAGGCCCTGGTATCTGGGATTTATTTATCTTCTAAAATTGAAACTTTGTAGCCTTGAGTGGAGTCCAGTGCTGGCCAGGATGTGTGGAAAGCTTACCTTCCTCCATTGCTGGGAAAACCCAAGCCTCTTGTTCCTTCTGTCACCGTAGCCATCTTGATTGGGTTAATTTGCATACTCACTCCTGACTGACTGGCAGGTGTGGCTTGTGGGTATGACTGTGGTATGGTCAATTTACATATTATTTTTCTATTAGATAGGATATTTCCCCAAAAGATCTTCCCCAGTGTGCATAGGCTCCATGGAGATTTTTTGTTTTCCTAGTTCAGGGTTGTGTGTCTGGCACTGAGTAGGTGCTCCAAACATGTTTATTGAACAAATAAATGGTCTTACTGGTTGTGTCATTTGAATTTATTTTTGCAATGAGCAAATATTACTTATAATTTAAAAAATCAATTGAGCTTCTAAAAACTCCACAATTGCCAACAGTATAGGCAGGCATTGGTTTGCTTTACAGATATTGATTTTATTTCCTGTGAATCCCATTTCTCAGACACACATCAGCAGTCTTTACATCATCATCATACTACTTGAGACATTATCATTAGCAACCATTTCAGACATCATAAAAAAGAGAGGACTACAGACATAGTCCCAGCTAATCCAGATCCTTCCTAAGTATCGAGAAGTTTCTGTTTCTATCTCAAAGGCGGTTGAGAAGAGATTCTCAAAATGCCACATCAGCATCTCCATCCTCCAACCAGCTACACTTTCCTCAGTGGACACAATAAAGCCCACATCACTTCTCAGAATGAACAATGAAGTTGTGCTCACTACGACTAGATTTCTGGAAGGTACTGTATGTACCAAGCTCTATGACAACTACTCTTGGTTCATGATTCCTCTTATTCTTCATAGCAACCCCCATGAGGTGGTAGTTATTATTCCCATTTTACAGATAATAAAACTGAAATTCAGAGATGTTGAATGACTTGCCAAGTCACACAATTAATGCACAGTAAAGTGGGAACTCTGCCCCAGGCAATCCATTAAATGCCATTAGTCCCTAAGCTTTGGACCAATTTTCCACCTTATTTGTGGAAAAAAGAGAAAACCCAACAAGGCAGGAACCCGGGGCAGAAGGAGTCAGAATTCTTCTAATAATTCTGAGCTCCTGCCATGTGCCAGGCACTAGGTTAAGCACCCTAAAGATGTTATCCACTTTAAGCTCACACCAACGAAGGTGTTTACTATCACTGTCCCCACATCAGCGGTGAGGGCTGTGAATGGAGGAAGGGGCAGTGACTTGCCAGGGGGCCACATTTAGTAAGTGACTGAGCCAGAATCAAATCCAGGTTGCTCTGTCACCACAGTCCATGTTCTTTCTCAACATGATGCAGAAAGCAGATAGTGACCCAAAATCACTCCCAGTTCAAACAGAAACAAAGCTCCCGTGGGGTGGGCCAGTCGGAGAAAGGGGTCACTCTGAAGTGAGTGGCAGCAGCTACCACGGGTGACATTCAGATGGCGAGGGTTCTTTTGTGTCCGTCATCTCCAAGACCAGGGAGGGACCCTGGCCTGTATTTCTCCTGTCTCCCTTTGTGCCCAGCACAGCACCAAGCAGGACACTGATGCTAGATGAATAGTTGCCAAGCAAATTAGCTAATGCACCTGTCTCCTTTTACAAGAGCCTCTGGCTCCCGCCTTCTCCGTTTCCAATTCAATGGTGGTCCAAGAGGCTTACACGATGGAGAGAAGAGGGGTGAGGAGTGAAGCCTCTGGGGCACTGACTCCACGCCGGTGGTGCACTCACTGGATTGCTTTTCATTCTTTCAGGAAGCCAGAGAGGCGGGTGCTGTTAGCCCCATATTACAGAAGAGAAAGCCGAGGCTCGGGGAGGTTACACAGCAAATTGTCACGATGCTGCGTGATGGAAGCAAACCACACACGTGCAATCGGCACCAGTAAGCACATGTTGAATGAGCCAGTAAATGAGTGGATGAGACAGTTTCAAGAAAAGGGTTACCAACACCATCTGTTGCTGCAAGCTGCCACGAATGATGGGAACTGGAAAAGAAAAAAGAAAAGAAAAAAGGTTGGTGGATTTGGCAATTAATTTCAAGTTATAATAGTAAAAATTGGGAGTGGGGTCACCTACATATCCATTATAGTCTATATTAGTCAGCTCAGACAGCCATAACGAAAGATCATAAATTTGTGTGGCTTAAACAACAGAAATGTATTTTTCTCACAGCTCTGAAGGCTGGAATTTGGGGTCAGGGTACCAGCATAAGATAACACCATACACCAGGAAGCGGTGGATAATTGCTGATCAGGGCACATGCCCAGGCTGCAGGTTCAATACCAGTCCAGTGAGTGCAGGAAACAATGGAACAGGATTTCTCTCTCACATCAATGTTTCTCCCTTCTCTCTGAGATCAATATAAATGAACAATAAGTGAATAAATAATGTTCTATTAGTATGGTATTAACAGGAAAGACATCAATGATCTATGAAGTGAAAATTTCATTAAATGCATATATACAGTATGACCCCATTAAAATATATATATTTATTTATATAAACATCTCACCATTGATGTTTCTATCTATCTCTATCAATTGATTTCAGAGGAAGGGAGAGGGAGAGATAGATAGAAACATCAATGGTGAGATTCATTGATCAGCTTCTTCTTGCACGCCCCCTTCTGGGGATTGAGCCCAAAACCTGACTGGGAATCATATTGTGACCTCCTGGTTCATAGATCAATGCTCAACCATTGAGCCCCACCAGCTGGACCCCATTTTTATCAATACCAGGCACAATAGGTACATTGGCAAGATCTCACTCCTAGACAAAAGTCTGAAATTGCCCAAACTCCTTTGCAGCTAGGTTTCTGGATATGATTTCGTGTCTGCCGATTGGATGCACTTGCACAATATTTTGAAGGCAGAAGTGGGGCAGAGGCATCTTCCCGAAGTTTGGGCTGTTTGCTGCTGGTGATCATGTGTGCAGAGATGTGGAGGTTTCCTGCAGCGGAATCCAGGCTGTGCACAGGCAGCTGTGGCAGAGGCAGTGCCCAGTGATCTGTTTTGTGGGAGCTAGAGGGCACTGCAGGGGCAGCAGTTTCTGGATCCCCGGGTCACAGCTGTGCCAGTGTCCTAGAATTCAGCTGTGGCTGAGGGGGCCGCTAGCCAGGGAGTCTTTCCTCCAGCTTTCCGATGATTTCCCAAGCACCAATTCTCTGTGCTACGTTCTTTCCTGCCTAAAATAGCAAAGATCTAAAGACATTTTGGATCCTCTACTTTCAATGAAAAAAAAAAAAAAAAATGCTTTACAGAGTCAGGTGTGCGAGGTGGGTGAGGTGTTGTGGAAGGCTCCCTCCTAACCAAAGATTATTATCTGCGCATAGTTACGGAATACCATGGCAGCTGTGTGTCCCATCCTTCCTGTGGCTTTGACACTTCCCGCCACGTCCTCTCTCTGGAAACTGGGACCCCCTGTGACGCGCTGGGACCACTGGTCGCCGGCAGAACCCCCACCGAGGCTCCTAGGACGCGGGTCCGCAGCCCCGCCCACACCGCCGAGGTTTCAAGCCCCGCCCGCTCCGCCGGGGTTTCCAGCTCCGGCCACGCCCACCCCGCGCGACTTTTGGGCCCCGGCGGGGCGGGGCCGGGGCGGTAGGCGGGGCCAACCAGGGCGCGCGCGCATTCCGGCCACGCCCACGCCGCTCGGGACTCCGGTTCTCTTTCCCTCCGGTCGGCCGCGCGACCCCCGCGCCTCGCCGTGCGCCATGGCCGGCTTGCTGGTGCTGCTGGGCCCGGTGGCCAGGATCGGTGCCCGGGCCGGGCCTCGCGCCTCCTGGCTCCTGGGCGCCCTGGCCCCCTGCGCCCCGCCGCCCCTGTTTCTGCCGCCGCTCCGACCGGGGCCGCACGCCCGACTGCTGTGCGCGGCCCGCGGGGACTCCGGCGGCCGCCAGGTAAGCCTCTCCACCGCACCCCACCCCACCCCGACTCCGGCGTCCGATCCCGGGTCCACTTCCGCCAAAGGAGAGCTTTTGTCCGCCAAGTTGCCCGAGACCTAGCCCCTCCAGGATCCCCGGATCCTAAATTTCTGCCAGCCAAGGAAGCGAGCCTCCCAGATGACACCTGAGAAACAGACTGGTCAGTTTAGCGATCTGCCCAGGTCCGCGTCTCCAGCGGGGAGGCCCAGGTCCCCAAAGTGTCGGCCGCAGAGAAAACTGTAGGTGAGGCCTTCACTGGGTATCAAGTTGGCCCTCAAAGTTGTTCCCTTTTGAAGTCACGTTAGCGTCTCCTCACTGGGCCTGGGAGAAGGCTGCAGGGGGTGCTGCGTGTCTCCAACATCTCCCCACACTTGCTGGGAGTTGTTAGAGACGAGCTAATCTTACCTAGTGAAAGAGCAGACTTCAGGCAAGATCACCCAAGAACTAGTGTTATTTCATTGCCATTGCCTTCTCGGTATGGTAAGTGAAAACCAGTTCCATTAAGAATGGTAATAAAGGGGTGTGTGTATGTGTGTGTGTGTAAGAGAGAGAGAAAAAGAGAGAGGTGTACAGTAAGCATGTCAAACTCAAAGGCTAGCACGGGTCAAATAAACAAGGTTCAAGTTTAAGTTGGCCACAAAAAAACACACAAAAGCTTCAATAGAAACATAGGTTCATTTCAATAGATACATGCTGAATACAAAGGGCTGAAATAAATGAGTAATCGTTAACATAAAATAATAGAACACTTTAATAAAAATTAATATTTTTTATTCAACATTAACTTATCAGACACTGAATAAACGTCACATAAATAAAACTATTTTTCTTGTTCTTTGAAAGCGAAATATTTCCTGTTGTGCACACCAAACAAGTCAGTCCAAGACTAATGACATGGCCATCGGCTGCTAAAATATTCGCTGCTGGTATTAGTGGAGAGAAGTGATGCACCTGCGTGTAAGTCACATAAGGGAAATAAATGCAACATTATAGTAATCAGTCATTAGTGAGTATTGTAGTTCTTTATTAATAATTATGTATACATTATTATTATGTATAATATTTTCAAAGTGCTCAGAACCAATACAGACTAAACACAATATATTGTTTATTAGTAATAATATTTATCAAATGAGTGAAATCAGGTGTTACCCTACACAACGTGAACAACTTGTAAGATCTTTGGTTCATTCCTCAAACCTTCCTGCTCCTAGTACAGCCTTTGTACTTTTATGAATATTGGAGGGGCATCACACACACACTCATGCTCACGTATATGAAAGCATTAGGTCTAAGTACAGGCACTGGGATATACAGCGTCTATATCCCAGGCAGAGCCTACCGTGTAAGGTGGTATTTTATTAAGAAATGAATGTCTGAAAAGTCTCCATTCCTTACAAGTCACCTCTTCATAACTTCCTTCATTTTAGCTTTAGTCTCCTCCAGGGTAGGAAGAAAAATGCATGGCTCACAATGCTTAAAGATTCTCCTACCCAGATAGAAGGAAGAAAATGGTCCAGGTCACATTCTAACTCAGGAAAGTTAAAAACCATCCCTTGTGTCTGGATATGATCCCTCCCACTCCCTTGCAGCAGACGCTGGTTCTTTTGTAGCTGGAAGCCGACTGCCTTTTTACATCTCTTTCTGGGCCAGAGGTCTTTTGCCAAAAACAGAGGGGGTAAAGAAAGGACCTCCTCAGAGACGGCTGCGCTCCGTCCAGTGAGCAGACATATGGGCATCATGGGCTTGGTCGGCTTCCAGCAATCACCAGCCTCCGCCAGAATGTCGGTTAGCACTTGGAGCTGCAGTTCACTGGTGTTCGAACTATCAGGGCCCAGCACCTGGCAGCTCTCCCATCTGCGGTGTGATTATGAGGGAGCGGCCATTCGGCAGGTGGGTGGCAGACAAAGGCTGTGAGGAGAGGGGTCACATGTGCTGGCCAACCAAAAGGAGGAGACTGATCTCAGCTTTTCTTTCCCCTTAGGGCCTGGAGGTCCCAGGGTGTCCTCCTTTAGGAACGCTCCCCTCTAAGAACAGGATGGGGACTCTGCTGAGGAGCTTAGAGGCCTTGTGGCTGGATGGTGACCAGCGCAGTAACCACTCCAGGCACTGCCAGCCCGCTCGTTGCTCCCCGCCTCAACCTCCCATCCAAGTACTAACCAGGCCTGACCCTGCTTAGCTTCTGAGATCAGACGCATTCAGGGTGATATGGCCGTAGACCTGCCCCAACCTCTGTGTCCTGCCTGTCAAAGCGGGAGCGACAGAGTGGTCACGTGGCAGGGTTTGGGGGGTTGTTATGAAGTGATGACTTTCAAGTTCCAAGCCCAACGCAATACTCAATAGGACACTGGTGGTTTTCAAGCCTTTCCAAAAAACGCTATCTTACCACCTGTCAGAATGTCAGAATTCAATCTCTCCATCGCCCCTCACTGGATTTCGCTGGCCCTCCCCCTTTATAAAGTGTTCCTTTTGAGTCTGAAAAACACACACAAGTCAAAACAGAAAGGCAGTGAGGAATACTGTTCATCCCACTCCCTCCCCCGTGACCTCAACACAATTCCCAGGGATGCAAATAGCATTTAATGGAACAGATTTCATTCCAAGGCCAATGCTTCTGAGTTTTGGAGGCTGTGTCTCCAACTGCAGTTTGGGGACAAAGAGGGTGCTCTTTCAATTGGGAGTAAAGACAAGACTCTTTTAACTTATAAATCTGAGTTTTATACCGCGGGGAGGAGAGCTGTTATGTATGATTAAAACTCAAGGAAGGTTCTGGGCAAACAGACCAGCACATCTGGGCCACCTGGGGCCCCGCAGAGGTCCAAGCTGCCCCGAGCAGGCTGGGCAGGGCTGGGACGTGCCCTCTCTCTGGCGGGCACACCTGGCTGAATGTGGGGCCTCTGCTGTGTGCACTGCTGCCCTGTGTTATTTCACCTTCATTGCAGGGGTCCTCCCCTACCTCTTAGGGCAGTGGTCGGCAAATTGTGGCTTACGAGCCACAGTTTGCCGCTCTGTTGACTAATGAGTTTGCCGACCACTGCTAAGGCATTACCCTTTCCCAGAAGTTTTGACTTCAGGTTAAAGATATTACATTAAAATGTCTTTTAAGTGTTTTTCCCTAGCAGTTGTCTGCAAACTCATTAGTCATTAGAGTGGCAAACTGTGGCTTGAGAGCCGCAGTTTGTCGACCACTGTCTTAAGGATTCTGGGCTATCAACGCTTGTCCCTTTGAGGTGTGGCTCTCAAAATATAGGGAGGAAGGCGCCTTGGCCTCTGCCAGGCTATACCTAGAGCTGATCCAGATACAAGAGCTCTGAGGTCTGTCCAGGGCTAGAGAGATCTCCTGACTAAAAAAAGGTGAGCTCCATATTGGAGCGTTTTCATCTTTGTTGTCTTAACTCAACGCTTTGGCTTTTTTGTTTCTTCCAAATATTGCAGACCCGTAGTGCTCAGTAGATGTTAGCAGATACCACGTGCAGTGAGCTGTATCTGTGCAAATCCCAGCCGGTGTTATGGCCCGGATTGGCCCTTCCTGTACCTGTGGGGATAACAGGGTAAATCTGGATTCTGGAAGTAAATGTGCCGTCGCTTCTGCACAGGTTTTTTGGGCACCCACATGCTTGTTTCATAGTGATTAGCATGGCTGTCGAGTGCTCAGGCTGTGGCCTCAGGCCACCTGAGTTCCAGTTGTGCGACTTCCGGTCCGTTCCTTAGCCTGAGCTGGTGTCGCTCCTCTTGAAGGTGGAAAGAGCAACAATAGCTACTTCCAGGTTTGGGAAGATGAAAGCAGACAGCGGATGGACAGAATCATGTGAGCACTACCTGGCCCAGAGCACATGCTCACTAGAATCATCATTGCCCCCAAGTGTATGAGCTCTGAGGCGTTAGTGCCTTTTGTGGCTGGAACCACAAATTTAATTTGTGTAAATAAACACATTTATTACTCTACTGTTCTGGGGTCAGCAGCCTACACTGGGTCTCACAGAGTAAAGTCAAGGTGTTGGCTGGGCTGGTTGCTCCTGGAGGCTGTAGGGAGAGCCCACTTCCTGTCTCTCCAGTTTCCAGAGGTGCTGGCCATCCGGTCGTCAAGCCAGCAGGAGCACTCTTCAGCCTCAGGCTCTCCTGCTGTCCTCACATCTGCTCCTCCAGCCCTACTGCCTCCCTCGCAGGGACTCTTAGCTTCACATGGTCCCTCTCAGAGAGTCCAGGACGACCTGCCCATCTAAGATCCTGAACCTGATCACAGGGGCACAATCTTTTGTAAGGTGACAGCCTCAGCTCTGGGGACTAGGACTGGGACATCTGTGGGCCATCATTCTGCCCATCATACTGTACCAGCCTTTCACTGTGTTAGTGGCTAAGTGGGTGTTAATTAGCCTCAGCTCTCCAGTAAGACAGGCTCCCACTGCAGAGGGAAGAGTAGAAACTGTGATGTGGAAGCTGGTGGCCACCACTGACACCCGCACCTGACCTAGACGCTCTCCCCTTCTCTGGTTTGTGCACAGAACCCCAGCAAAACCACCGCGACAGCAGTGAGCAGCATCAGCGATACAGAGGAGAGAAAGCAGAGCAAGTCCCAACAGCTGAAGAAGGTTTTTCAAGAATACGGAGCCGTCGGCGTGTCCGTGCACATTGGAATCTCACTGGTCTCCCTGGGCATGTTTTACATGGTGGTCTCGAGGTGAGATTGCTGACAGTAACCAATGTTTGTTTTCTGCTGTCATGGGGGATTCTTTGGGAATAATTACCTTCTGTCCAAGACTTTATTCATCTAGCTACTGTCATCACATCTTTTAAAATAATGTCAATCTCAGAGCCAAATTGTCATCTCAGGGTAACCCCGTGCTCGAATAATTGTTTTGTTTTTGCCTTTTTCCCCTCCAGTGGTGTGGACATGTCTGCCATCCTGCTTAAGCTCGGTGTTAAGGAGTCGTTGGTTCAGTCAAAAATGGCCGCGGGCACAAGCACCTTCGTGGTGGCCTATGCCATCCACAAGCTGTTCGCGCCCGTCAGAATCAGCATCACCTTGGTGTCCGTGCCCTTGCTGGTCAGGTATTTTCGGAAAGTGGGATTTTTTAAACCTCCCCCTGCAAACCCTTGATGAACTCTTCAACTGTGGGCCTGGAGACCCCTTTCTGTTAAATTACACAATTCGGGTTGATTTTAGGGTTATAGGGTTTGTTTTTGTTTTGGGGGACAGAGGCTACTTTCTGTGTTGGCATAGATAAGTTTTACTTTTGCCAACAAAATGTGAGTGTTAAATTGTAATCTGTTTGCTTTATACGTTTTGCTAGGGCTGTTCATCATAGGACTTAGATGCATTATCTAAAATGTCAGCAAAGCATCACAAAAGCATCATCGTCAACTGTTAGCTTACCAGCTTGCTTTAGGAACTGTTTCTCTGAAAAATGGCCCTAGAGGTCCATCTTTGTTCACATTCTTAAAGAGCAACGCTTCATTAAGCTAATTTTAAAATTCCCTTCCCTCCAGTATCTGTGGTCAGGCTGCCTGCGGTTTAATATGCAATATTCTGCAGAACAGCTGCCAGTGCTGCCATTAATGAAGCAGAATTGAAGACTTAACAGTATGAAATAATTAGCATCAACTTCTTTACATTCGTTACACTTGTCTGGGGCAGTGGTCTGCAAACTGTGGCTGGCGAGCCATATGCGGCTCTTTGGCCCCTTGAGTATGGCTCTCCCACAAAATACCATGTGCAGGTGCACACGTACAGTGCGATTGAAACTTCATGGCTCATGCACAGAAGTCGGTTTTCAACCTAGGTGAGTCTATTTTGAAGAAGTGGCATTAGAACTCTCAAAGGGCTAAAGAGCCACATGTGGCTCGCAAGCCAAGTTTTGCCAACCACTGGTCTGGGGGAAAGAAAAACAAGTATTTCCGGTGTGTTTCTTTAGTCCCAAAACCCGATCAAATCCAGACATGCAGGGTCCTATCTCAGGTTGTCCTTTGCAAATTTCATGAAAGTAGGTAAGGGTCATTTGTCTCTGTGAAATGTGGAAACTTGTCCAACAGTAATGGCGTCCTGTGGCTCCTGCCGCCAGGTCCTCAGGAAGTGGACATTGCACATATGGAAAACTGAGACAATCCTGGCTCAACCCTGTATTTCTCAAACTCTAGACATTCCAGAACTGTCAGTGTTTACATTCTGTTGCTACTTATATTTCCAACTGTGTTAAAATTATGTACAGTAACAGAAAGATTTTAAGTCACACTCAAAAAAGGAGAGATAGTAGCACTTGCTATAAATGGAAGACATAGAGGAGCCGGGGGAGGGAAGAAATGTCTCCGTTGCCTGCGCTGTCGGAGCCTCCTTGGGCCTCAGCATCATTGCACGCTGCTGCCCTCCAGGCTGCACTCACTCTGAGCTCTGGCTCCGCACTCAGAACCGCAGTCTAACCAGATCTGTCCTGGTCAAGGGAGTTAGTTGTGTTTCTCTTTCTGGCTCCCTTTTTGCCCACCATTGCCCAGTATGTTTAATTACATTTGGGACAATCAGAAAACTAAAGGTACTATATCATCTGACAGTCCTGAGTTTATGATCTGGCTGGTGACAGTCCCCTAGTAATCCATGTCCATCACTTGTTTTACAAATGTCATTATGGAACAAATTCCCCATTTATCAGATCCCTAGAGTGGGGTTCATTTTGTTTTAGCAATTAGCTCAGTGCCAAAAGGTTTTACCAGTTTCAAATTGAAACTGACTTTCTGGAATTTAAGTTCAAGGACATTCACACAGCGGATCGAGATGCCTGATACTGGTTCAAGGTCACTCTTCATGTGGTCCAGACCATTTTTAAAAAAATGTTTTTATTGATTTTAAAGAAAAACATAGAAACATGATTGGCTGCCTCCTGCACACTCCCCACAGGAGATGGAACCCACAACCGGCCATGTGTCCTGACAGGGAATCAAACCAGTGACCTTCTGGTTCATGGGTTGATGCTCAACCACTGTGCCACACTGGCCTGGGAGACCTGCATTTTCATCTCATCTGTCTTTAAACCATTGGCTTCAGGCTCCTAACCCCCTTCTATACCAAACAGATCCCTAATAATGCCTATGCAAAAAAAAACAAAAACAAAAAACTGACTCTTATAGATTTAAGGGCTTAAATTTTAAACTTTGTGTTTGGAGTGATGGGAGTGGACTGAAAGGGCAAGCAATAAAACTAATTATCACATCAAATAGCTATAGCGTCTCTTCTCAGCCCTGACTCCACTCCTCTCCCATGACCAGTGGTCAGAAGAGCAGAACCGAGAGGGTGAGGAAATTAAAGGACCGTTATGTGAGTTCACCAGCAGGCTCTACAAATGGCTTATATTTTCAGTTTTTATGCAACTAGGAATAAAACGGATGATCTATTTTTAACATGTAAAGCATTGTTCACCTCTCATTTTTTAATCTAACAAAATGAGCAGCTTAAGTGCTGTGAAACAAACCTCTCTGTAGTTTATGAAACTTTGATTGCTCTCTGGTAAGCAATAATTGATGCTGATTGTGAAGCAGCACTGTGTGACTACGATGGGCTGTATTCTTGCTGTGTGGGATTCTGGTTGGGGAAACGGCAGTTTAGCTACTATATCAGGTGAAGTTAGTCATGTCACATTAACTATAGCTTGGGTGGAAGGTACATGAAGTATTACTACTTTGGAAAGGTGGAAGTTGGGTCAGCTCAAAGCTAATTGGTCACGCAGTTGTGTTTTAAAGTTGCCATGACTACCTCAACATTGATATGGAAGTAGGTGTTGGCCACTTCCTTACATTTTGGACATTTTTGATATTTAGTCTCTTGCATTGAAAGTTGGCCATGAAAGCATATTTGTCTACTAATTCTCAGTAAGTTTAACACTTCTACCTTTTCCTTCATCCTTGTCAAGTTCACCATCTTTGATGAGCAGATGACGTTGGCAGCTAGAAACAGTATGTAACTCTGCATGTTAGGAGGCACATAGAACTTGAGACCAAAAATGGGACAGACCTGCTCATTTCCCCCCCAATACCCCAGACCCGTGTTTGTGTGTTTGTTTCCAGTTTACACATATGCTGTAACTCCAGTGTAATAGAAAAATAAGCCCCCAGGTGTGCATGGAGCCAGGTGATCAGGGAGCACAGAAAGACGCCTCCTCCAGCTGCGCCGAAGGGGCTTCCACTTTTACAAGCTGCAGTGAACCCTGGTCAAACCCAGATCCCTCTTTGGGGAAGAGTGAGGGATCCTAGTTAAGGGAACATTCCTTCACCAGAGAATCCAGACAAACCACACTTGGAAAGTTAGCTTGCAAAGAACCAGCTCACCCACGTATGGGGCTCTTTGCCATCCTGTCAAGACCAGGGCAGAGCCCCAAGGTGGGCAGGCGGGGATGTGGATGCTCCTGACTCCTCCCCAATCTCCTGACCACCCACAGCACTGGCCCAGCCCTCCTCAGCTCAGCCCGTGCCAGCTCAGGAGCACCATTTCTGTGACTTCTGCTGAGTGACTGTCAGTGCGTCCACAGGAGGAGTCAGCTCTGTGAGCTGGGCTGTCACTGAGCACTGCACTGCATGTCCATTGACTAGAAAAGGAACGAACACTTCATGGCACAGGGCAGTGAAGGATGAAGGGAGGGCGTACCATCTGCCACAAGGTCATAGCCAAAGCTCCCCACTTCTGTGCCATGTTTCCCGCCATCCCCCTTCAGCAGCAGGGACTTCTCGCCACACCAGCCTCCAACCGTTAAATCCTCCCTGTCCTTCCAGTCTCAGATGCCACTTTGCCTGGGCATCTCTCCCAACTTCTAATTACCCCATCACAATCTGCCCTCTCCCCACCTCTACCCCACCATGGTCAGTGGCCATCCTCCCAGCTGTGTCCCTCACCACTGCAACTGAGAGAATGGAGGTGCTCACAGGCCAGCCCAGTTCCAGAACCTCAGCCTGGAAAGCACAGCCCCGCACAGACCTCTCTGCCTAACCCTCCACCCTCACCCATCCCAGGCCTCGCCCAGCAATGCTCAAAGGAATCACTGTAAGCTCCTGAAAAACACTACAATTTCAAGGTTATACATGAGAACTTGAAAAAGAGTAACCATTCTGTATATGTCTTAATGTATTTATAAAAACAACATATAAACCACAGAAAACATTTTTTAAAAGCACTTAACATTTAGAACTGGCTGAGACGCTTCTCCACTGTGTTCCTGTTTGTCTCAGGCAGGATGAGTGGTTGAGGGGGACTAAGCAACAGGCCCAACAGGGGAAACAGAGCATCCAGAAGGGACAGAGTCTATGCATATCTCTTTATTTAAACATTTAAAAGAATCACATGTTCATTCTGACTTTACCAGGTGAGGCCACCCGGCAGGTTACACACCCACTCAGGCACCTGGGAGGTTATTGCACGGCTCCTGAACTGATCGGGTCGGGACAAAGGTGCCATCTGCCCACAACCAACTCGGAGGTCACCTTCCACAAGGGCCCTTAGTCCACACGGGCTGCAGGGCGGCTGCACTTGCACTTGCCTCCAGAGGATGAAACCAGTGAAGCGATCACGAATCTCATGGCTGCTTGCACTTCAGGGTCATGTTTATTGAAGTAGAACTTTCTATACTTTTCCCTAGTGCTGCGGATTGCGAGCAGGCAGTCGGTAGTAGATTATGTCAGGAGTGTGTTTCTGACCAATGACACAGCAGCCCTGGCTCAGAGACTCTCCCCCTGCAAGACTTAAGATTGCTTGCTGGTCGATTCTTTAGGTTTTTGGCTACTTGATGGTTTTGAGGAGTTTGCTGTGATCCAGGGGTGTTCCAATACTTCTTTCAGGGTCAGCCTTTGGTTGGGGTTATGCTTCAACAGTCTTGAAATCAGATCCCTGGCTCCCTCTGTTACAAAGTCAGGGAATGTGAATTCAACCTGGAGTACAACAAGTGACAGACAGTCACAAAACGTGGTTTAGAGAGAACAGTACAAACATTCAGACCGTAGCCTCGAGGGAAGGCTGACAGGAAGGGTTCTAACAGGTGCTGGATCCCTCCCAGTTGTGTCTTACCCGAGATATCCTTTTGTAGGTCTCTTGGTATGTGCTTGCCTCAAAAGGAGGCTTCCCAACTAGAAATTCATAGCAAAGAACTCCAAGGCTCCAGAGGTCCACCTTCTCATCGTGCATTCGGCCTTCAATCATCTCCGGGGGCAGGTAGTCCAGGGTGCCACACAGGGTGGTTCTCCTGGAAACAGGGAGGTGCAGGTTGACGCGCTCGTTTCCATGATCACAGCCGCTGCTAAAATCACCAACTGCACTACCTCTGACTGAGTGCTCTTCCTAGGCAGATCCTGTGCTCGGAGACAGGTGCTGTTATAAATCCCCATATCGCTCACCTGACATGCTCTGAGCAGTCAGGTGAGCGATCAACTGAAATTCAGCATCTCTAGGTGTCAGTGAGTTTCCAAAGGCTGGAAATAAGCTGGTGGTGGCAGACAAACCTGTTGATGTTTGTTGCTTTATATTAATATTCTTTGCCATGGAAAAGCTTATGCTGAGTCATGCCTGGAGCCCAGCCAGCACACAAGTGTTCACTCAACTAAATGGCGACTGGAGATGAAGGAGCCAGCTCCCCAGTCAGCCCCTCTCATCAGCACTGAGATGAGGCAAACGGCACCCAATGACTGGGAACCCTTCTGCTTACTAATGTCTGGGAGGGAGGCGAAGTGACCATCAACATTACACAAATGTCTTTTTCAGAAAAGGGTAAGTTATCTTTCCGCCACAGTTAATATCACTGGATAGCTACAGTGTAGTTTTAGCCTGGTAATGCCACAAAGCCTACAATTCTTCATTGTTTGCCTCAGCAAGTGCCAACAGCATCCAGTGGTGATAGACAACCAGGTTTTTTTAAAAGCAGATTCGGTGCATTGCTAGAAACAATTTAGAAGTAGGGGGAAATAAAAAACAAAGCTCACCCCATCCCATGGTACCTATTTAAACTATGCAATTTCTTCTAAAAACTAGATTTTTTAAATTAAAAAAATTAAAAAATCCAAAGAACTGTTTTTAAGTAATCTGGCTCTAATTTTTAAGCCCTACCCCAAAGTGGACTAACTTCTATGAGTAAATATATACTTGTAAATGTTCTACTTCACATGTGGTTTCAAAAGCTTATTTAAACTCAAGTTAAATTTAAAAGAATATAGAACTTTGCTCTGGTTTGCAAAGTTCACTTAAGATTTAAATTGTTTCCTTAGGTTATCTCTCTGCTTTAATTTTAAGAGAAAAACAAGAAAGGACTGTTCTGTTGATGACAGCAGACCAAAGAGCATCTTTAACCTCCGCCCTGAAAGTTCCCTCCAAACCCATTTGGTTGTTGGGAGTTCCCGCAGCTGCCCTCAGATCCAGACCTTGGCAGCTGCTGCCCCAGAGAACGTGTCGCAGTATGTCAGGCGGACTCCCCTCTACACATCCTGTACCTCTTCTCTGTCCTACACCTGTCCTATCTGTTTACTTACCTGTCTCATGCATTAGCTGTTAAGGACATAAACTATCTTTATCCCAGGCCTAGGTCACAACAAATAGTCTAAGTGGTTGCAGAATTAAAATGTCCTGGAACTATCGGGGCATAAATTACTATCGGGGCATAAATTACTCCAAAGTATTATCTGTCCCAATTGAGCACAGCACCTATGCTTAGTACTTTACTATCTAGCTCATGCTTGGCCACTGGGGCTTTTGCTAACCCCAACAAGTTCCCCCTAAAGTTACATACCTGGAGGATGGGGCGTGTACGGACCACCCAAAGTCTGCAATCTTAAGCTCTCCAGTTGATCCGAGGAGCAGATTCTCTGGCTTGATATCTCTATGAATAACTCTCTTTGAGTGGCAGTATGATAAGGCATTTGTCAATTCTGTGATATACTATCAAAAAAGTATTAAAATTGGTGTTATAGAGTTCATATAACAAGTTAATTTTAGACATCTTTTCTGAAAGAAAACCCAACATAGACTTTTAACATGTTTTGTAGATTTTAAAGCAAAAGCTAGAACCAATTGATGACTCAAAAACACAAAAATTAATCGAATCAAATTGGTGTTCAGCATGTAGTACAAGTTATTCAGCGCAAGGTTATTTATTTGCTAACACAGCAGATGGGGCATCGAAAGACAGGAAAAACAGTCATGGGCAATAACTACATCCCCACATGACAAATTATGGCCCAGCAATTAAGAGAATACTGAACAACTAGTACAAATGAGTCAGATATAAACAATTTTTTCAAAACACCAAAAAAAATCTCTTAAGTACAGTCAATTCCCATTTTTAAAACCAAGGTCAATTTGCAACAAAAGAATTTGTTTGAAGCTAAACATTTACACTAAAAATATGAGGAGAGAGGAGTAAATAATCCTGAACAATAAACAGAAACTAGAAGCAGGTATAGTATTGGCATGTTAAATTCAGGATAAATTAATTCATTAGTCATCTTAAGAGTCCACAAGCTGTCAATCCTTTTGTTAGTTACCACCTCAACTGAAAAATCTCACAAGTCCAGAATGTGCTTTAACATATAGATAAGAACTGTTATTCGTATACTGAAAAATATATTTAGCTCTGACTAAAATCGTGAAGGCTGTTTTCCAAAAGCTGTTGCTAAACAGGACTGAACATTATTCTACACCAAAAAGGTTTATTAAACAAATAGGTAAAAACCAAATGTCATTATCAGAAAAGACATTTTCATTGTTTCAGCCAAAAGCCCAAGACCAAAATGTAGACGATAATGAATTGAAAGTAAAGACAGAAACTCTTCTACACATTAGAATTGCAAAGGGCAATGGGCTTTCCTTTCAGAAAGTGAAGGGTACACTGAGGTATGTCCATACAATGAAATACTATTCACCAGTAAAAAGAAATGAGCCAATGGACATAGAGAACAGGGGGTGAGGGCATGGGGGAGGGCGTAATGGGGGAATAAGACACATATGTAACACCTTAATGAATAAAGAAATTTTTTAAAAAGAAATTTTAAAAAAAGAAGAAATGAGCTATGTCAACCCCTGAAAAGATACGGATGAATCTTAAATGCAAATACCAGTTGTTTCCCACAGGAGTAGCTGGCTAACCATTCTGATGCTACTATCCATGTACACAAGCATTAAATAATTAAATGGATGGAAGATGGTGGAATCCAGGTTTCCCAACACTGGGGTGGGAGGTCATAGAAAAGCAAGGGGGGTAGAATGATCCCCATGGTAATGGACACATACTTTGCTTAATAAAGATATAGATAGATAAATATAGATATACTAATAGATACATGTATATACACACATTAGTTTACACATGCTTCCTTGCTCTCTGTCAGCTGAAGTAAAGACACTCAGTAGCATGAGCACACCCAGAACCCAGATCTTGGTTTCTAGTAACACACTGCAACAAAAGGAACCAGGACTCCTGGGAGAAATGGTAATTCTAGGACTGGGATAGAAAATACACAAGATGAGAGCATCTAGTAGAGTCAGAAAGCTTAAAATAAAAAATAAAAAATGTTTTAAATATTGCACACCCACAATGGAGAGAAATGTCAAAAACACAGGAACCATGTGAAAGAACTCCCCGTGGACAAAGTTGGAACAACTTGAGCAACAAAATAAAGTAGCATTGGATTGTAATTCAAAGTATAAAATACTGATGAGTCCATATTAACAAATGACTCGGTAAATACATAAGGAGAATGCAAACTAATTTTTGTAGATGTCTTCCCCACAGGAGGTGAAACATAACCCCACTGTGTAGTGTGGCTGTGCATAGAGCCTGCCTTTGAAGGAGCACGGTATGGAAAGGGAGAATGTGACAAACACGACCTCGGCCAGGTGATTAAGGCCAACACCCACCGGGATAAGCCAGTGTGATCCCTTGAGAAGGAATGAGAACATGATTTATCTCCATGATCTTCTCAAAACACCCACTGACTGACCTAGTCTAACCATAAAAAAAAACTGAGGAAATCTGAATAAGTATGAACTTCAATTAACAGTGATGTGTCAATATTTCTTCAGTGAAAAAAAGAATATTCATTAGTTAAGACAATGTACCATTCTAATATCAGATAGTAATAGAAATTAAGTGTGTATTACTAAATTAGAAAATAGATCTGGCCGAAGCTGGTTTGGCTCAGTGGTAGAGTGTCGATCTGTGGACTGAAAGGTCCTAGGTTCTATTCCGGTCAAGAGCATGTACCTTGGTTGCGGGCACATCCAGGTAGGGGGTGTGCAGGAGGCAGCTGGTCGATGTTTCTCTCTCATTGACGTTTCTAGCTCTCTATCTCTCTCCCTTTCTCTCTGTTAAAAATCAATAAAATATATTTTTTTAAAAAATAGATCTGTACTATCTTTATAATTATTCTGTAAATCTAAAACTCTTCTAAAATAGTTCATTTTTTTAAAAAAAAAAAAGCAATTATTTATATACATTATATACATTACCACAGAAAAACAGCTTTGAAAGCAAACCAGCCTCAACATTCTACCTGGTATCCAATTTAACTGTATATATGGTACAATGATTGATTTTCCACTTCAAATATTCGATCCTATTAAGCTATAAGTAAATTAAAAAGATCCCCTCTACTGTACTGGAAGGCACATGGCCATGCAGGACAGTAAACAAGCACTTACAGTAGCTGTTCTCTGCTCATCAAACCTGGACAGTTTCTGAAGTTCTCTATAGACAGTTCCCAGAGTTGCGTATTCCAAAATGAGGTACACTCTGGTGGCATCATGGAAATAACCATACAGCCTGAGAATGTTTGGATGCCTGCAACAAAGGGTGAACACTCAACACCTGGTTTTAAAGCAGATATAGACATGTGCTCAACACCAAACAAACTCTTCGTGTAAAACTGGTAACAAAAACTTGTTCTGGTCACAGGACCCCCCTCCTCACACCCCAACTTGAAGATCTGAAACTATAGACTTCATTCTAAGAAAAATACACATATCCACATATCAGTTTACATGCAGGGTATTCATGGACCTCAGGTTTACTTAAGATTATTCTTTCCTTCCTTTAAGCTGCCTTTTTTCTTAGGGGGGAGAGAAGAGAGGTGAAACTCAGCTAAATATCAAGTCCCTGCTAATTAAAAGAGATAGGGCATTCCCATAATAACTGGATATCAAATGCTACAACAGATATAAAAGAGGTCTTCAAGAATGGCAAATGTGTGCTGCTGAGAACTCCGTGCAGCTGAGAATATAGCCATCAGAGTCATCAGTCCTTCTCAAGCCCAGCCAGGTGTTGCCAAGTAGGGATACAGGCGTGATACAGACAGATTTTTAAATCTGAACGTACCTAATTTTTAGGTATTAGCAATTGATTCAAGTTTGAAAAAAACACCTGGGGGAGGGGAGGTGGACTCTGGCCAAAGTCAAGCCTGCAAATTCTGCTTACAGTTCAGAGTTGGAGATCATTCCCCATATTATCCACCCAAAGAAATCACTCCATTAACATAAACCTCCAAGATATTTTTCAGGCCCACAGCATGTAAGTCTAGAAAAATCTTTGGAAAATGACAAATTCCATCCTCTGCAAAACAATCAGGCAGGCAGGCCTTCTAAGAAGCAGTTCAGTCATTTATCTTCAGTGGAGTTCAGTGGAGTTCTTTGCACTACTCTTTGGAAGATCCCTGAAAACTCACCTAAGGTGCGACTGTATTTCTACTTCTCTTCTTATCTGATGCTCCACGCCTGCTTTCTCCAGCTGGGCTTTGAATAAGACTTTCAGAGCCAGGATGAACTTGCTCTGTTTTTCCCTCGCCAGGTACACATTTCCAAACTTTCCTTTACCCAGAGGGCGACCAATTTCAAAATCTTCCAAAGTCCATTGCCTTCTAGGAAAAAATGTGATCATTTTAAAATGTCAAGAAAACAAATCTCTTCTAACCATTAATGAGTAGTAGACATACCCTATATATAATTTCATAGTTATTGTTCAGAATGTACCATCTGCCAGAACCAAGACAATACCACGATTAATGAGGCACCAGATATTAAGTCCTCCACACCTCCACCTGCCTGCCACTGGCTGTGAGTCGCTGACAAGGAATAATGTAGACATTAGTGCTGGAATACTCAATGGCATTTCAGAAGGCATACAACCATTAACACTAAGCCCATAAGAAGGATCAGGTTATGGAATTGGCCAGGGAAGATTGCCTCCAAACCATCTTGGGCTGCTTGCAAACTAACCACAGCCTCCTCTCCTCAACCCCGGGGAGATACCAACACTCTCAGGGGTGGAGAACCCCTGGTAAACAAGCGGGATGGGTCTCACAGGGCATTTAGAGGGGAACCATTAGATTCTCAGAAAGTCTCCGCTAGGCAGCTAAAGCAACATATCATGTTCTAGAATCTAGACAGTTCAGAGATTGATAGCAGGCTTTTAGGAACTATCTGGTGAAGATATCGTAGCCATACTGTTATAAAGAACACAGTAATTCTATGAACACTGTCAAAATACTCAGGCATGTATATATCACAGAATTATATATATATAATATATAAAATATATATAATATATATTACATATATAATATATATTATATATATTATATATTATGTATAATATATATCAAAATTTTATATATATATATACACACACACATCAATAGAAAAATATATAGAAGAATGCATAAACCATATCCAGTATCCAGTGGTTACTTCTGAGGGCAGAAAGAGACTTTATTTCATACATTTCTGAAACAAATTCACATAAGCTTTTTCTAAAGTTGAAAAACTTGAGTCCCTAAGTTAACATTCATCATTAAAATCCCTCCTCTTTTCTTTTCTAATTAGAAACATCTATATTTTCAAAGTTAACAATATAAAGACCTTTATTTTTTAAAGAGTTCACAAAATTAAATTTGCAGTTAAATGGTGTTTTCTAATAGGATAGCACAAACTTAATAAGTAAAGCTTACTTTTTTGATTCTTCGTTTTTCTGTTTCGAAGCCACTTCCTTTTCACAATTCTTTCCTGCACAGAATAATTTAAAAACCTGTTTTTAGGATAACTATACAGAGTAAGTTAAAAACCTGAGAACAGAAATAAATCAAATAATGGTCATCAAAATATTCTGACCTGGCCATTTTTAGTTTCTTTATAGAAAAGGACTACCACAGCATGAGCCAACTGCCACCCTGTGAAGTTCACAGATTTCTAGAATAAAGATGAGCGGACTCGTATAGATAGGCCTTACAATAACATGAAGGCTCGAGACTGAAGATTCTCCCCAAAGCCTGTTTCCAAATGAAGAGCTTCTAAGGCAGAAAAGTCTTCCCATCCATGACAAACTCCCCTGGTCACCTTTCTTCCATGAGGTGGGACAGCCAACTGTCCATGTGCTGCACACAAGTAAGATCAACAACGTGCACCCAAACCTAAATCGTACCTGCCTTTCACTCTACTCCTTGTCAGGGGACACACAGAACCAGAAGCTACCAATTCAGCAAGATGTACAACAAACCTTCCTAGAGTGTACGTCGCTATTTCACCAGCCAGAGACTGTGTGGGACATTGACTCGTGTCTTTCTCTGGCACTTTGAACTCTAGCGGCAACACAATTTGGTCTGCTCAGATATTCGAATATAGGGCACAGCGGTTATAAAGGAAAAACCATTATTTTGGTTATAACAAAATAATGGTTTTCCCTTCCATGGTTCACCATCTCAGCTCATGCCACCGATATAACCAGCCTCTCCATGTCCAGTTTACTTAATGCTTCTGCGTCCCAGCTTCCTCCTCTATATAACTGGGTTAATGACTACCTTCCTAGAGTGGTTACAAGGATTGAAAGACAAGGTGGATGAAGAAAGCACTCATCTCAGAGCCTTCTGTGTGGGCACTCAAGAGAAGGTAAATAGGAACCATTACTATCCATCCTGCCCCTTTCCCCAATCCTCCTCCACCCCGAGTTCAGCCTCCCTACCATCCTGCACCCCTGGGTGCAGCATTGCTACTCCAATGCATTCCACACTCCAGATAAGCTCTCTCTAAGGCACGTCAGTCACTCCTCTGCTCACAAACCTTTCAGCAACTTCCCAATGCCCAGGGGATGAAGCCCCACCACTGAGCACCACCAACAGTGCCCAGTGACCTCGGCCCGGCCTGTCCCAGCCCATCCCCTTCCCCCAGATTTCCTCCATGCTATGAACCTTGGAACTTGGTTCCTCAAATGTACCATGAGGGTAGGAACCAGGTCTTCTCCCCACAGGCCTGGCCCACAGAACTGTGACTTCAACCTAACATCAAATTTCCTCCCCAATCTCAATAGAAATGATGTAAGGCTAGGATTCCAAACAATATAAAGTACAAGTCTATACACTTGCCCTTTTTTAAAGCTAACTAGAAAGCATGACTACACAATGAGTCTCTGATTTACCAGGGGCTGGTGGCTGGGGCTGCTCACTCTTTTGTGTATTATTCAGTGGTCTGGGCACAGGGCAAGGGCCACTGGTTGCCTGCAATTGCTTCTGCTTCAGATTCAGGACTGGTTTGTGGCTGGAGACAAGCTTCTGTGCTTTTGAAGGAACTTGCTGGGAGGAATTCGAAGGACACAAGACCCGCTGAGCCTGGCCACTGTTTGCAGGTAATGGATGCTGAGAAGAAAACTGCTGTGTCACCAGAACACGCTTTGGACCGTCACCAGATGGAATTGTAGTCTAGGTTAGGAGGGAAAAATAAAAGCTTCAATATCTTCATAAACAAAAGCTGAACATCCTGAGAATTTGCTTCTGGTTATAACAAAATAACAAGTGTCAGGGTAAGAGATGGAAGAAAAAAGCTATTTTAATCAGCACTAAAGGACAAGGTTAATACATGGCTGAAAGGAATACCTGAATGGTACTTCCTAACCCCTCCCCGGCCCCACCCTAAAACCACGCTCCCATAAACCAATGTTCATTAACTCAACTCCCATTTAAAGAGGAAGACAAACACTTCCTAAGAATTCAGTGACTTGGGAATTATGATTTAGCAAAAAGCTGCAATACAGAAACTTTACTAGTATACCAAAATCCCATTAGCTCTGAAATTTCTTTGCCGATACATATTTAGAAAAAAAATGGAGGGAAAAATACATCTGACCCAGAACCGGGCTCAAAGTGGAGTCCTAGGAAACATGCACTGACATCTGTTTTGATGTTCCTGTGAACTTACACTCCCTGAACTGAGACCAAACCAAACCATGGCAAAGAAATTAACTTCTGGCCAGCATGTACCGGCAAGCATTAGGCTTCTATTGTGTACATTATGCCACATACAATGGAAAATAAGAGACTTGAATAGGTAAGTATAAGACAAAATGGTACAGTGAATCAACAAAATGTTCCTGAATGCTGAGAAAAGCGGTCTAAAGTTACAAATCCAAAGTGAAGGTGAGAAGAATTCCAGATAGAAGAACGATCTCCATTTGGGTTTTATAAACGTGACTGAGATAACAGATTATTCAGTTTACCTTAACCAGCCCTGAAATGCTGTTTTCTTTAGCTTTGTCCATGATGCCTGAAAAGAAAAAAGAACCTTTAATTTATACCTGTTATGCTAGATCAGGGTCCTAGCCTCAACATCACAGAATTTTAAACTTTTTCTTTGTCCGAATGAAGCCAACAAGAGGGCACTGTTTTCTTATGTGACATAATGTTCAGGTGTGGGCCTTTCCCACATACCAACCTCTCCCTGGTACTCTGCACTGCATCCCATCCCATCCCAGCCAGCCTCCTCCCATCATCTCCCCATCCTTCCCTTCCCTACTCAATCTTCACTCCTGAACTGACTCGTCCCTCTCTTCCATCATCTCCTCTCAAATGGACCACTTCCATCAGTGTTCAGGCCTCCTTCTACACCTGCTACCTTCATAAAAATAAAAATAAAAATAAAAAATTCTCTTTACACTCTAACAGAACTCAAGCTATGACCACACCTCTCACCTCCCTTTTCAACAGCAAATCTCTCTGAGTTGTCCACTGATCATCTCTACTACCTACTACTTCTCAGCTCCCCTTAGTCCACTTCATAACTAGCCCCTATTGTCCAATCCACAAGTCTGTGCTCCGCCTCCATCTTACCTGAGTTCTAAGCAGCATGACAAGCTCACTCATTCATTTTCCACTCCTTTCTTTACTTAGCTTAGACCTAGGCCTACCAAGTCCCATAATGTGGACCCTGGTGACCTCTCTAACCATATCTCCTCTGACTTTTACACACCAGCCATATAGGGCTCTTTCCTTTCCTCAAGTCGCCTGCCACAGGGCCTTTGCACTTCCTGTTTCCTCCACCTATAAAGTTCTTCTGCCAAATAGAAGTGTGGCTTGCTCCTTCATTTCATTTAGTCTCTGGCCAGATGTTCCTTTTCAGACCATCTTTCCTTTTTCCTTCATGGGCCTTATTTAGCATCTTACATAACATTACTTGTACCTGTTTACTTACTGTCCCCAGACTCAGATATCCAGCTATCTACTCAATATTCTCCTCCACACCCCCCCACCCGACCCAAAAAAAAAAAAAGTAAGCTGGATGAGAGCAAGGGCTTACTTCCATTTTGTTCAAGGTCTCCCTCAGAACATGCCCAGCACACAGTATGTACACCAACGTTTGGGGAATAAATTAACCCAATAACAAAGCAAAATATAACATTTACTAAACCCAACTTGACAGGCACTGACCTGTCAAGTAAGTAGAACATAAACAAGAAAGCAGAAACCTTTCTGTATTTTTAGTACCCAGTGCTCTCTGGATTCCAGAATCCAATCAGAAAGCATTCCCCACCCCAAGCTCTCACAGCCATTTCATCAATATGCAAATCACTCCACCTTGGAGATGAGTCTTCATACCAAGCAGAGTTAGTACAAGCAGAGTCATCACCATAGACAAGTGATGAAAATATATGTTTGTTTATAAAATGCTAATTTCTCACAGGCTCTGCTTTCTTCACTTTCCCTAACAATTACAAGCAGCACACTGAGATCACATGGGCCAAAGGACATAGAGTCAACAGTCCCCAACAAAAACTACAGACATTTGCTCCAATTTAACAAACCTCTTCTTCCCAGGAAGATTAATAACAAGCAGAACGGAGTAAGATTCTGATCCAGAAATTCTGGAGAAAGCTCCAGGAAGACTGCTGCTCAGAAGGCTGTCCACCGCCAGCGTCAGGAGTCACATGACCAGATGATCTTCACAAGACTCCTGCAGTTCACACCAGGGGTCCTGCTTTCTAAACGGGAAAACTGTTAGACTTAACAACACTGTATGTCTAACAACAATACCTTCTCCTTCTTCCATGGAACCTACTAATATCATCCACGAATAAAAAGTGGAGAGGAAATGAGTGTTGCTGGAGAGACTTTAATTCAACAAGGAAAGTTAAGCAGGAGACGTGAAAAGTGAAGCGCAGCCGCTACGTCCACATAGTGAAGAGGGTTAGAAACAGAGGTGGAAATGGAGACCTCCAGGCCAACCCCATACCTAACAAATCAGATGCCGCATTTTAACCACTCCCCAGACGACTGGCATGCGCTGGTCCACATCACTAGTTCTCAATGAAACACCGAGATCACCTGGAGAGCTTGCTGAAAGCCCACACCTGAGTCCCGCCAAGCGGTTCTGATTCATCAGGTGGGTCTCAGGGGCGCCCCAGTACCCCGATACGGGCGGGCTGCGGTTTGCAAAGCACCAGGCCACCCAGGATGGCCTCTTCGAGGAGGCTAATCACTTATTCACACATCCCTCCACCTAGCCCAGGACTATCCTACCCCCCAGTAGACCACACGCATTTCTTTCACTGTTGGAAGTTACCTTGCTAGTTCGTCATTTGCCTTCTCACCCCGACTAGAACCTAAGCTCCGAGACAGCGAAGACCTCCGTCCGCTTTCCCCCACCCAGGTGCTCACTGACTACGACCATCCCGTCAGAAAGCACCGCACCTCCACCCCCACCCTCACCCCCCAGCCCCCGCCCTTCCATTCCGGGGGCTTAAGACGCACCAAGCGGAAGGGCGCCTCAGTTCCAGGAGCCGATGGGAGGGCACTGGGAAAGCGGGGCTGGGGGCGACGGAGGTCAGGGAGGGAGGATGGCGGGAGGATGGCATGAGGGAGGACACGGGTCCGAGGGACGCCTCCTCACCCCGACTCTTCCCTCGCCAGCCCCGCGGCCCCACCCGCCCGGCTCCCACTCGAAGGCCACCCAGGCCTGCGCCCTCAGCCTCACGGAGCTGTTTCCCCCCGACACCCCAGCTGGGCCTGGACACCTACTGGCTCCGGCCTCCGACCCGAGGCCGCCGAGTCCTCCGGAGAGCCGAGCCGTTAGGACTCAGAGAGTCATTTTAAATAGGAGTTAAACTCTCTAGTCCGGAAGCCGATTGGCCCGGGCCGGAGAGGCGCTGCCTCCTCATTGGTTCACAGCCAGCGCGACGGCCCGATCAGGTCCAAGAAAGGCGGACGCGGCGCGCAGGCGCACTTCCTCCGTAAGGCCCCGGAAGTGGCGGAGCCAACGACCCGCCGTGCGGCCCCGGGCTGTCCTAGCGCGAGCGCCGCTCTCCGGGCGGTGGCGTGTGTCTGTGAAACAGAAGCCTCTCGGCGTCTGTGCTGTCGCGCAGGAGATAAAGTCGGAGGAGGTGAACGAACCTCTCGAAGGTGCCAGTAAGTAAGATGGCGAGACAGGCGGGGCCGAGTGGGCTGATCGACCGCGCAACGCTCGGCGCGGCGTCCTTTCCGCGTGCGCAGTGAGGTTGCGCACGGAGCGATCGATCGGGCCGGAGTCGTGCCTCCATTTTTGTGGAAGAGCGGGAGACCGGGAGCTGCTCTCGCGGGTACCGGGGGCCCGGGATGTGCGCAGAGCGGCTGGAGCGGTCGGGCTGGGGCCTCTAGGGGGCCACGGGAAGGACTGGGGTGAGGGGAAGGGGGGAATGTGAGCGGGGAGGGGTGCGCGCTGACTTGCCAGGCTGGGCCTGCTGCCTCCCTCCCTCCAACCCTAGTTCACCTGGGTGCCAGGGTGGTGGCGGGGCGCACAGCGAAGGGCCGCTTCTTCTCCCGGGCCTTCTTCCAGCCCCGGGCATCGCCAGTCCTGGCTGTGTTGTTCTGTCCTCGGGCCTCGGCGTCCTCCCCTGCAAACCGGGGGTGGTCATTAGGCGCTTCCTAGCCCCGCGAACCGTGTTCTGTGCATTGAGAACGGAGCTCGGCCTCTCTTTTCTTTTGAACTTCTCTGTACATCACACAATGCTCCTGGCATGAGTGAGGAGACGGGATGGATTAGCAATTAAGTTCTGAGCTCTTGTGTGTACAGTCCTGGCGGCCACTTCCATCTTGGACGAGTTGCTCAGCCACGTGTTACTTTCGGTGGATTTCTTAACCTGTTTGATTTAGTTTCGTCATCTCTGTTGTGTCCTGGTGCTGTCTACACAAGCATAAGAATTATATGCATTTGCTTCCACGTGTACTTATTAAGTCCATTGAATGAATTTATGCAATGAGCAAATGCTGCCTTATAAAGTGCTCAGCATGGTGTCGGCAAGTGCTTAATAAATGTCAGCTGTGGTTAACACCCGTCTGTGCAGCGCTTCAAGAACCTGGGCTCTGGGGTCAAATAGCCTGGCTTAGAATCCAGGCTTTGCCATTTACAAGCTGTGTGATCCTGGGCTTCAGGTTGTCCGTGTCCTAAACAGGATTAAATGATGATTTAATGAGATCATGCTTATCGTTGCCTACCTGATATGTGTCTCCCAGCTAGGGCCTGGAGCACTTAGACATCCGTAAATCCATCTAAGTGCCCAATCCTTCAGGTTTTGCTTCCCTCCTTTTTTATTGTTTTGGCCGTGTTATTTGCCAATATTTTATTAAGCATTTCACCTTTGACTCTTTTCCAAAACATTTGACTTGATTAACTTTTCATAGCACAATAGGTGTTATGCCCTCATATCTTGATTTATTATCTAAATATATAATTTAACGTCAGTTGCTTTAAAACATGTATTAAGACTGACATAATGATATTAGTAAACATACATTCAGCTAGTGCAGTGCTCAGCAAACTCATTAGTCAACAGAGCCAAATATCAACGGAACAACGATTGAAATTTCCTTTGAGAACCAAATTTTTTAAACTTAAACTTTTAACATCACTTCTTCAAAATAGACATGCCCAGGCCGTGGTATTTTGTGGAAGAGCCACACTCAAGGGGCCAAAGAGTCGCATGTGGCTTGCGAGGCGCAGTTTGCTGACTCCGGAGCTAGTGGAAACAGTAGTGTAGCCATATAACAGCTGAGAAGCCTGATCTCAGGCAAACGAGTCATTAACCAAAGATAACACAGGTAGTAGAGCTGGGATTTGAGTCCTGCTAGTCAGATCCAATTTCTGTGTTGCTTCTGTGATTTATTGGTGCCTCACTTCACCATTCACCCTTTTTCTCTTTGCAGCTGTCAGAGAAATTGTTTTCCTCTTCTCCAAGATGTACAGAACCAAAGTGGGCTTAAAGGACCGCCAGCAGCTTTACAAGTTGATCATTAGCCAGCTGCTCTATGATGGCTTCATCAGCATTGCTAATGGCCTCATCAATGAAATCAAGCCTCAGTCTGTCTGCGCACCCTCAGAGCAGCTCTTGCATCTCATCAAACTAGGTAGCTGTGAATGCAATTCATTGATCCCTTGACAAGGTTTCAGATGTCCTCACCCATCAGAATTTTTCAAGATTATTTTCACTTCTTTAATGTAATACATGTTAAGTACAGTGCTCGATACTGAAAGAGATAGCATAGTCCAGATTATGAAGACTTCCAGCTGGTTCTAGACTCGGGGTCTTGACCCAAATTATCTGGACCCTTCAGTCACTGGATTATTGACTCTTCAAGTCTCAGCTCACATTGTCACCCCAGTCCTTTCTTACCTTTTCTAAAACCCACTTCACTACTATCCCCATGTCCCCTCCCCCCACACACACACACTCTCTCTCTCTCTAAATCTAACACACAGTCCCATTTCCTTCCTAGCATAAGAACTGTCTGAAATTTTCTTTAGTATTTTGGGTTTTCCACACTATCTATACCTCCCCACACACAAAAATAAAATAAAATGGCAAGCTCCTCAAAGATCAGGACCTTTTCTTGTCCAATAGTATGCCCTGGTGCTTGCCTGGTTCATAGAAAACACTCAGTGAAATACAGAATTATCAAACCTGTTTATACCCTCTGACCTGGCAGTTGTGAGAATTTTTGATTTAAGAAGTGAAACAACTTTATGCATGGAGAAAAGTCCAAAAGAATTTATACAACCATGTTAATAGTAATTATCTCTGGGTGATACAGTCATTTTTTATTTTTTTGTTCATCTGCATTTTTTAATTTTTCCTATGCTAATAAACATTGTTTATATGATGTGTGGAGCTTTTTAAATTTAAAGCGTTCTTAATAAACTTCAGTTTATTTAACATCCTTTCAGATATGTTTCACTAGTGTTAATGTATCTGACTTAATGAGCTTCAGAGTTCATATTAACAGATCTCAGCCCTAACTATGTAATATGGAGTAGGAAAAATGAACAATTTACAGAGCTGCTTTTTGTTTCTGTAGTTGTAGTTACATAGACATTTTGGAAGCAAAAGTCAGCAGAGGTGACTATTTACTGAAGCTGGCCTTCTACAATCTATGTTCCCTTACAGTGTGATCACTGTGCACCCTTGTCAGTGTGCCTAGTTTCGTAAGATATAAGGATCATGCACCTCCAAGAAGCAGTATGTTGATATGGCAAACATCTTTCCCAGTTTAGATCCTAAACTTTGTGCCTTATTTTTTTAAGGAGAAAGAACCATTGATTTGTTGTTTCACTTATTTATGCATTCATTAGTTGATGCTTGTATGTGCCCTGATGGGGGATTGAACCCACAACCTTGGCATATTGGGCAACATTAACAAACTGAACTACTCAGGTAGGGCCTGTCTTGGCCTTTTAAAATAATATTTTTCATGCCCTTAATTTTTATTCCTTTCAGGAATGGAAAACGATGATACTGCAGTTCAGTATGCAATTGGTCGTTCTGATACAGTTGCCCCAGGCACGGGCATTGACCTGGAGTTCGATGCAGATGTCCAGACCATGTCCCCAGAGGCTTCAGAGTATGAAACCTGCTATGTCACATCCCATAAAGGACCATGCCGAGTAGCTACCTATAGTAGAGATGGGCAGCTAATAGCTACTGGGTCTGCTGACGCCTCCATAAAGATACTCGACACAGAAAGGATGTTGGCCAAAAGTGCCATGCCAATAGAGGTAAAAACCCCTGTAACACTGCCTACCTGCCTTTGTTCCCTCCTGGGAGGAGAGTAATTTAAACCAGCTTTGCTAAGCATAGTAGCAGAGTGCTCTGTGAGTTAGATCTTACACTTTGCGTATCTCCTTATCTTATTGGTCTAGGTTATGATGAATGAGACTGCACAACAGAATATGGAAAACCACCCAGTGATCCGTACTCTCTATGACCACGTGGATGAAGTCACATGTCTTGCTTTCCACCCAACGGAACAGATCCTTGCCTCTGGCTCAAGGGATTACACTCTTAAGTTATTTGATTATTCTAAACCATCTGCGAAAAGAGCATTCAAGTACATTCAGGTTAGGAATGTTTTTTCTTAAATACAGTGAGCTGTTGTATGGCTATTCTCTTTTTAGAAGTAGTCTCAGAAATCATACATAAAAGTACTGCAACAAGGATGTATGCCACAGGTGGCATGTGGCTCAGATTCCATGGGCACATGGTTCACCTGTTGTCATGTGCCCACATCCTCTGGCGGGTTGGCACTGCTACAGGTCACTTCAGTAAGGATTCAGAGTCCTATTGCACTCTAAAGGTTGCAGATCCATTTGAAAACAAAACAGTCACTTCATTAAAGTCACTTATGGTAATAAAGTTAGTTAAAACTGTCAGGTATTTGCTGAAAGTCACATTTGTTATCTTGAAGTAATTTGTTCTTTCTCATACCTGACCCATTGTTTAATGGATTCTTTGCATCATCCAAATATTTTCCACATTTTCTCTGGAAACAATTGTCCCATAGTTGGTCACTTAATGTTAACGTCTCTCTCCTAACAGGAAGCTGAAATGTTACGCTCCATCTCTTTTCACCCTTCCGGAGACTTTATACTTGTGGGGACTCAGCATCCTACTCTTCGACTTTATGATATCAACACATTTCAGTGTTTTGTCTCTTGCAATCCTCAAGATCAACACACCGATGCCATATGTTCTGTTAATTACAACCCTAGTGCCAACATGTATGTGACTGGCAGCAAGGATGGCTGCATCAAGCTGTGGGATGGTGTCTCAAATCGGTGCATCACAACTTTTGAGAAAGCACACGATGGTGCTGAAGTTTGTTCTGCCATCTTTTCCAAAAATTCTAAATACATTCTTTCAAGTGGAAAAGACTCTGTAGCTAAACTTTGGGAAATATCAACAGGACGGACGCTGGTCAGATACACAGGTATGTGAGAAATTGATATTATTGAACACTTAGTCATCATTTGGCAGTTTCAGATAAGGGAAACCAAGGCTTAAACTAGATAGGGCCAAGTCATTTAGCCAACCCTACAGTTAGTAAGTGGCAGACCTGGAAATAGAGCCCTAATTTCTTACCTTTGCTTTTTTCAATACATTATAGCTTAACTAGATCTGATTCCATGCAGGTAGCATTTGAAAACTGGTGGTCTCTTTGCAGGCTGACTGCCTGCCTTCTCTGCAGTCCAGAGAAAAGCCTCCCTAAGTACACATTAAGGACAAAAAAGGCTGAGAGGGAAGATCTTGGCCCATTCCTAAGTGAACAGAGGTATCCCCCAAGGGAGACCACAAGTGTTCTAAATTGAAGCTAGATACAAAATGGGTGCTTCAGACAGAAAAAATTGTTGTTCCGCTTCTCATTAATTCATGTAGGCCTCTAATTGGTAACAGTTGTGGCTGTGAGCTCTGTGATGAGATTTAAATTTATCCTTTCACAGTAGTCTGTTCAAGTCTAACCATTTATAGTGAGTGTTGTTAAAATATTGTGTTTCATTTTCCTGTTTCTGTAGAAGCAAAGGCTGTTGTGTGGTAGAACACCTCCAGTAAACTTTAGTTATTATAGTTTCTTCTGTGAGGTGCTTGTGTCATGTGCTGAAATTGCATGACTAACCTAAGAGCTCCCAAAATTGTTGAAAGGGGCTCTGCTATGGTGTTAGCATTGCAGAGAAAATTGAAGAGTTGGTGAGATCTTAACCACTAGGGGGCAGCATAGTCTACTGTAGATTTAGCTCCTTGAAACCTGAGCTTGTTTCCTGCTGTCTTCTGGCTTCTGGTACAACTAGCAAGTGTTGGGAAACATTGAGCACTTACTGTTGTATTAAGCTTGTTTGAAAGATATTTGATTATTCTATGAAAAGACTGTGTGTGCTGCAAAAGGGAGATATAACAGTGACCAAGTAAAAATGGGAATACTGCCCTGCTGGCTTGGCTCAGTGGTTGAGCGTTGAACCTATGAACCAGGAGGTCACTGTTCGATTCCTGGTCAGGGCACATGCCCAGGTTTTGGGCTCGATTCTTGGTAGGGGGCATGCAGGAGGCAGCCAATCCATGATTCTTTCTCATTATTGATATTTTTGTCTGTCTCTCCCTCTCCCTTCCTCTCTGAAATCAATTTTTAAAATCTTAAAGAAAAATGGTTAACGCTCCTCCCCCTTGAGAAAGTACATGAAACTGCTGACAAAAATTTACTATATTTGGGGGTTTTTTTAATGAATGTTCGAAATGTTTTATGGTTGGTTTTGGTGGGCAGTTGGGAGATGGTTTTAAATAAGGTTATACTGAATTTATATGCAAATTTCAGTTTTTCTAATTCACAGACCCTTTGTGTCAGCAAATTTAGATGTTTCCCGTTTTAATGTTTAGTTAGAATTATCTATAATAATAGAAGAAGAATATGCTAATTAGACCAGATGTCCTCCAAACTAAGCCAGGGCTGCAAGGGAAGCCCAGGTTCCGGGTGCCAGAAGGAAGTCGGTGCCAGCAGCCGGGGGAAGGAAGGCCTACTCTTGCACGAAATTCAATGTGCATTGGGCCTCTAGTCTTAAAATAATGAAGGAAAAGAGAAAACTACCAATTATATATTAGAAGTTTTGATGTTAAAAGTTAATTGAAAACTCTGTAAACAAAATAAAAATGCTGGATTAGAGGGGAAATAGTCATAGCATATATAATAGACACATGTTAGACATTGGTCAGTGAACACAAAAGATAAATGACCAACCTCACTGGAAACCTAAGAAATGAAAAGGGAGGCATCATTTTGTGCTCATCAGATTTCAAGAATTATCTAGTAGTGATAAACATTTCAGTAAATACATTGTCAAGAGTATCAATTAGTAAAATATTTCTGAAGGTCAGTTTGGTGTTAAATATATATACAGGGTGAAGCAAAAAGTAGGTTTACAATGGTTCATATGAAAAATAATATAGTAATAATTATTGCACTTGTACTTACAACTGTAAACCCACTTTTGCCCCACCCTGCATCTTTTGACCCTCTATACTCACTCTTAGAAATTCAGCCTAAAAAGATAGTTAGGCAGCATGCACAAGCACACATAAAGATGTCCACCCATCATTGTCTGGAGTGGTGGAAAGTTAGAGTCAGCATGAATGTCCACCAGAAGCCTCGAGTAAACAGGTTCTCCCTCATTTAATCCCCACAGCAGTGTTGGGAGTGCTGCTGTAATGATCCCCATGAAACAAGAGAATTAAGATGGAGGGAAGTAATTTGTTCAAGGTCACATCAATAACAAGTGGTGACCAGCTGAGACACCAAAGTTTGTATTGTTATTCATTACGCTGTCTTCCCTTTTTATATGATTTCCACTACTGACACTGGGATAAAAACAGCATATGATGTGTGCTCTGGTTTATATAATTTCAAATGAGTACAACACAGAGATATGTGGGAAGGAAAAGAAGCAAAATATTGACTATGGGTGTAAAGTTATCAGGCAGTTTTTATTTTTTATACTTGATATAGTAGTTTAAACAAAACATATCTTTTTCATGGTCATAAAAAAGCATAAAGCTTTCTTTTGGAGAGCAGATGTTCCTACATCCCAGTAATTCTATTCCTAGGAATTTAATTCTAAGGAAGTAATGTGTTCTGAACAAAGAATGTTTATCACCACATTGCTTACCATTGGATACAGACTAAATGGGAAAAGAACTAAGTAATGATGTTTCTAAATGATGGGATACTTTGCAGACAGTAAAAAAGATGGAAAATGTATCCAACAGAAAGTTGGTTTAAAGACATATGATGTGGCACCAGTTTGTATTGTTTTTTAAAAGGTTTTTGTACCTCAGAGTGCATCACAGTTAACAGTTGCCTAAGGGATTAGGCCCAGAAGTGATTCTCTTTCATACTTTAGAGTTCCCAAAATTGCACAATAGATGTGTAATACTTCAGCAATTTTAAAATGTTCTTTTTATAGCTATGGGATTAATAGCCAAAGTAGAACAGAGGGCCTAAGGTGTGAACTTGTAAAGCTACCCTGGCCTTTACCCTCTCGGTCTGTGTGCAGGTGCTGGCTTGAGCGGGCGGCAGGTGCACCGGACACAGGCTGTCTTCAACCATACAGAGGACTACGTGCTGCTGCCAGACGAGAGGACCATCAGCCTGTGCTGCTGGGACTCGCGCACAGCCGAGCGCCGAAACCTGCTGTCCTTGGGCCACAACAACATCGTGCGCTGCATCGTGCACTCGCCCACCAACCCCGGCTTCATGACCTGCAGCGATGACTTCAGGGCCAGGTTCTGGTACCGAAGGTCAACCACAGACTAGAGCCCCCGCCTTAAATAGGGTTCTTTCCTAGAGGACCCTCCCCCCCTCCCCTGTGTCCCGTCAGCCAGCCTCAGTAAAAAGTCATGGTACCATCTTTGGCAGTCAGGCTGCCAACTCTACACCCTTCTTGGATTTGTACAAAAGGGTCTTTTTTTACCTTGATGTGGAATCATGGTGGAAAAAGTGGGAAATGCAGACCCCTGCTCTGCACTCACTGATTATTACAGTGTGATTTTCATCGGTTTTGTAAATACAGGACTTGCCATTTCTCTGAACTTGATCTTTTGAAGAAGGGTAGAGTATTAAAGTGCTTTCCAGATCTCAGGTGGATCTGTCCTAAGGAATTCTCATTGGGCTCTTTTGTCATCTTCTGTGCCTGTTCCACATCTCCGTGTTTTCCTTTCAAAATGCCTTTGGACAGATAAGTAGGCATAACCTGAGAATGGAGTTTCGTGCCCTATTAAACCACTTTAGAGAATCAATTCTCTGAAATGACGTCCTGATAATAAAGCTCAGACCTGCAACTTTACTGTTACACATTTTCACTTCAATAACATAATGGCCAGTTTTCCTGAGACTTCCAGGAACATCTTCCATCAGACCTCCCACATCACCTTTCATACCTGCAGTGCTCATCTTCAGTAAAAGCATTTCCCATCAGATGACACCATTTGAGGGGAAGCATAGATTTGGAGATTATGTCCAATCTAATTGGAGTTAGGTGGTCCAACCACTGCCCTCAGGTGTTGCTTGTCTTCATAAATGGTCAATATTGTTAGGCTTTGTTCTTATGTAACTTTAAATCTTATTTTTCAGCCTGAACCTTAACTACTCATCGTGGATGCACAAGGCAACTGTGTTCTCAGAAGATTTTTGCAATTAACTGACTGATACAAGTTTTCTTTCTTTTATTTATTTATTTTTTTTGAAAGTTTTTTAGTGGGTACCAATATTTCTCTTTGTTGAGCACTAGCTGGGTCAAAGAACCCAAATTCCTCTCACTAAGATATCTTCGGTTTATATTTTTCCCCAAATACAAATACCTCATGATCTGGGTGGGAGCACCTAAAAATATAACCTGGGAATAGTAGGTAAAAAGTGTGGAATAGAGTAATGTAATTGTCTTATGTTACAGGAATTTTAAAATCTGATGTTTATTGCATAAAAAATTCTGCTTTAGTCATCCTTAAGGATCATTTTAATTCTTTATAAAATGATTTTAAGCTTTTTTAACGAATAAAATCACAGTTTTTTGGTTCAGATTTACAAAGACCTATATTTTGTGCTGCATAGTAAATAAACTTTATTTTATGTCCTGATTCCCTGGTATTTGAACTAGGACATCAAACGGTGCTGCTTTTGTAAGATTAAAAGATACCAGTTGACTAGGAACAAAGATAACCAGTTCAACCAAAAAAATCACCAAACATGGCTTCCCACTTGCTTTTCTGGCTTTTCTTTTGCTTCCAACCTGTGAAACTGAAGAAGAGGTTGGCGTTTCCGCATTGTTCTGCTCTGGCACAAGCCCTGGGATGCCCACTCTGCACTCCACATGTAAGTCCTGCTGGATCCTTTTAACTGTTCATGAATTAAAATACTAATACCCACTTTTTCCAGTTTTTGGAATAGTCTCAACAATGGATCTGTAGTTTCAGGACTTCTGTTTACAAAATCAAGATACTTTTGTGTGTTTCCAAAATGAACTTTCTAACCTGAGTTGTTTGGTTTTTTTTGTGGTTTTTTTTTTTGTTTTTTTTTTTTCATTTAAAAATTACCTTGTTTTGAACTGGTATAAATGCCATGAGTATTTCATAAATTTGGTATCTGCACATAATTAATTGTACCACACTACCCTGGCATTCAAATGGTGAATGATACCCAGTCAGGATAAGAATTTAAAACTATGTTATTTTTTAAAGATATGTGATTTTAAAATAAACTTTTTGTATATAATGATAATTTAAAGCTAATTCATTTTTTCGGAGCTTGCTTAGTTTAAATGTTTTTGTCATGGCTTTGAGCTGTTACTCTTCACTCTTTAGTGCTTTGTTCTGAAAGTCAGGTTTTTGTAGTTTAATCAATCACCTTTAGCTGTGTATCTTTGCTCTTCCACTCTCTGAATTTGAAAACTTGGGTATAATTTCACTTATTTAGGTTATTCAGAAAAACCTGCCTTTTGCCTTAAGCATTGGTTTCCCTTGTTGTGTGTATGTGGGGGGGGCGAGTTGACGTGCTAGGTAGGAGGGTAGCCTGGGGAGGGAGGGGAGATAAGATAGGAAGTCAGTCTTTCCTCTTTGAGGCCTCAGCTTCCTTTTCTGTGATGAAAGTACTTCATCAGAACATCCCCAACGTGCATTTGAGTCAGGGAAGCTTCTAAACACGTTTTTTATTAGCTTATCTAATAAAGATGGAATATGCAAATTGACCGTCACTTCGTAAAGAATATTGCGCCCACAGCCAATGAGGGAATATGCAAATTGACGTGACAAAGATGGCGGCAGCATGGCAACAACACAGACGTTCCACCCCACCCCGGCCACTCTGGGCCTCTGGGCAGCGTGTGAAGGTGGGAGGCAGTGGCCAGAGTGAAGGCCCAGGTCCCAGGTGCCAACAACCAGAGAAGGAGGGCCTATTCTTGCACGAATCTTCATGCATTGGGCCTTCAATTCTATATAATAAAAGGGTAATATGCAAATCGACTGAAAGGTAGAATGACAGTGGATGTGACAAACACTGACCACCAGGGGGGCAGATGGTCAACACAGGAACTGCCCTCTGGTGGTCAGTGCACTCCCACCGGGGAGCACTGCTCAGTCAGAAGCCAGGCAAGCCCAGCACTGGTGGCAGGAGCCTCTCCTGCCTCTGAGGCAGCACTAAGGAGCAGCAAGCAGGTGGGCAGTAAGGAGTGAGGGCTCCTGAATTGTGAGGAGGATGTCTTGACTGCTGGCTTAGACCATTAGACATCCCTCTCACAGGAAATGGGCCCAAGCCAGCAGGTGGACGTCCCCCAAGAGGTCCTGGACTGTGAGAGGGTGTAGGCCAGGCTAAGGGGACAACTCCCCCCCCCCCCAGTGCATGAATTTTTGTGCACCAGGCCTCTAGTTACATCTACACTAATAAAAGAGAAAATGCTAATTGACCATATCTCTGCTATGCCTACAGCCAATCAGAAGTGATATGCAAATTAAGCCAACAAAGATGGCATATGCAAGAGGGGCGGGCTGTGCCTGACACCACCTGCAGGGTCCAATCTGTGATTGAGATCTTGGCAGGCCTGGCAGGCAGTGCATGACACCAGGCAGAGGGTGATGGCCACTGTCTGGAATCGCTGTCTGCCACCAAGCCCCCTGCAGACACCAGTGGAGCAGGCCAGGGTTGAACATTTTAATGAAAATGGGATGCCTGTGCCCCAGCCCACCCAGCCTCAGCCCTGGCGAGGAGAGGGCAGTGAGCAGTTAGCAGGCACCAGGGCTTGGAAAGGACTGGGAACAACCTGCAGGCATGCTACCAGGAAGAGGTGCTGAACCATGGTGATGCAGAGAGCTGGTTGATGGAAGCGCGCAAAGGTGCAGATGAGGCGGCTCTCGCTGGAGCTGAGCTGGAATAGCACATCGACAGCCTGAGAGACTAAATCGCCTTTCTGAAGAAGGTACATGAAGAGATCGCCAAGCTGCAGGCACAGATCCAGTATGCTCAGATTTCATGGAGAAGGCCATGTTCTCCAAGTCCAACCTCTACTGCGCTCAAGGACATCCGCACCCAATACAAGCTGGCTGCCAAGAACATGCAGAATGCAGAAGAATGGTACAAGAGCTGCTTCACCATGCTGATGGAGAGCACTGCCAAGAACACCTATGAGGTGCGCACCTCCAAGGACAAGCTGTCTGAAAGCAGCCGCCTGCTCAAGGCCAAGACCCTAGAGATGAAAGCATGCGGACATGAATGAAGTTCTGGGAAAGCAGCTGCGAGAGCTGAAGGATAAACAGAACTCCAACGTTAGTCTATGCAGGACACAATCAACAAATTAGAAAATGAGTTGAGAACTACAAAGAGTAAAATTGTATGATATTTAAAAGAGTACCAGGACCTCCTCAATGTGAAGATGGCTTTGGACATTGACATTGCAGCTTACAGGAAACTCTTGGAAGATGAGGAGACCCAGCTCAGTTTCACCAGCATGGGAAGCATAGCCAGCAGCTACTCCCAGAGTTCCCAGATCCTTGGTCCATCTGCCTACAGTGGTTACAGACTAGCTCCTACTTGATATCCGTTCGCTCCTTCCCTTCTTAATACACCAGCCATATCCTGGAGGAGAAGATAGAGGTGGAGGAGACCGTTGAGGCTGTAAAAGCTGAGGAACCTAAAAGAGAATCTGAAGAGGAGGAGAAGGAGAAGGAACTGGTTGATGAAGAGGAAGGAGAGGAAGAGGAAGAAGGTGCCAAGGAAGAATTGGAGGATGAAAAGGAGGAAGGTGAAGGAGAAGATGCCCAAGAAGCTGAGGATGAGAAGGATGAAGGTGCTGGGGAGGAGCAAGCAGCCAAGAAGAAAGATTGAGTGCCTCCTCTCCTTTAATTTTTTCAGGAATAATCCTGAAACCAGGCCAACCCTTCACCAAGCAAGCAGTTGAGTTCCCAATACTATATGAATTAGGAAGTCAATATATATATAACATTCTGAGGTGACTCAGGTTGGACATTAAATGTTGTGCTATGACTTTTCTCCTTATGCGGAGTATCTGTTTGCTGCAGAGTGGCTTCCTGGCTTGCTGCCAGCCAGTGCATGTTCCATGCTTATGAGTTCAGGATCATTGACAATGTGAATAATTCAGATGTTTACAATGAATACACATGAATACATGAATTCACTGATGTTAATGTTAAACTTCATGGAGAAAATAGTCCTTTGAATCTTTGGTGGTTAGAAATTAAAGATTTCAAATCGTGTGCAATAAACAGTAAATAAAGTTATACTGAATGACAAAAAAATACAATAGGGGCCAGGAAACATTCAAAGAACTGGGGAACCATTCCCAAATCAGGAAGGGAAGTCACAGGGTGTATACTATTGCTACAAATACAGTATTTCTTACTACTTACAACATACACCATGTAATGTATTAGATGCCTTCCTATTGCATGAAGTATGTATTCTCATAGTAATACTGGTACATATAGTTATGGCAGTATGTCATATCCTATCTATACTAATAAAAGGGTAATATGCTAATTAGACCATGATACCTTCCAGGCATCCAGCCAGGGCAGAGGTTGTTAGGGATGATCAGGCTGGGGGTGAGGGAGGGGGGGGCAGTTGGGGGTGACCAGGCTGGTGGGGGGGCCAGTTGGGGGTGAACAGGCCAGCAGAGGGGACCAGTTGGGGGCAACCAGGCCAGCAGGCAAACTGGTTGGGAGTGATCAAGCAGGCATGCAGGTGAGCAGTTAGGAGCCAGCAGTCCCTGATTATGAGAGGGTTGTCCAATTCCAGTTTAACTCGATCCCACAGGAGTCCCAGATTGGAGAGGATGTATGCTGGGCTGAGGAACACCCACCCCGTGCACAAATTTCGTGCACTGGGCCACTAATATATACATAAAAGACTATTATGTAAAGTGTTCCCTCGGGAATTCGACCCAGAGAATGGGAGTTCGATCACTCACTGTGACATGCACTGACCACCAGAGGGCGGTGTGGAACATGGTGGGAGACCAGTGGTTGTTGTGGGGCACTAAGGAAGCTAGGGAAGGGGGAAGCGAGGGGGACTGTGCAGTGGCAGTGGTGGCATAGGTGGTGAGGGAAGGGGAGAAGGCAGGGAACCTGATAGTCCCTGATCGCCAGACAGGCCTAGGGACCCTACCCATGCATGAATCTCATGCACCAGGCTCTA